TCTCTCTCTCTCTCTTTCTATAATAACGCCTCAAATCAGCTGAAATCTGGCAATAATGTATTCCAAGGGGGCTACAATTAGCCGCTCCTAATATAAAGCGCGATGATGCCAAATAGTCAACATTTTATTTCTATTGGGCCGGTAAAGCAGGACAGATTCCCGAGGGGTATGTTGTTTCGCTCTGAACCACGCCCATTTACTTTAAACGAAGAAAAAACTACTTTGAACGGGTGAATAATCGACAGCTCCAGTATTTTGCCGCGCATTCAACCAAACATCCACACAAATTGCGAAATCAACTTTCCCAATCCATTCAATCAATCTAATCAACAATCCAAACGCACGCATTATCATGAAATACTTTCCAAATATGTTCTGGTTGGGCTTGATTGGCAGATGCCTTAGGCAGCACTCGAGTATGATTTATTGCTGCCCAAAAAACAAGTCAATGACCACTGAACATGTCTTAAAGTTCATCACAAAAAATGCTTTCAAATTATTAAGGCGCACTTTCTTTTCTGCGAGTTTTTTGGCCCCTGGGCTTGGGTTAATGATGCGATTTTTTTAGGTAAAATCCCAAAATGTCTTACTCAAGTTCCACAAACTCTGCTATTCCAGTAATGATTACGCAGCATGAATGGAGCCGTTTGTTATCTGAAAATTTAATAAGTTGTATTAATGCCGCCACTCTGTTCCAAATGGAGTTTTAATTCCGAAATGTTCACCTCGTGCAAATATTATCATCAAAAATTACATGGCAGGTATGTTGTTAAAATAATCGTCCGGTCTATCACAGTTTCAGTCGCGAGCAGGTTTTCCAATCATTCGTTTGGGTTTTTTCGATTCACTTAGTGGTCAACGCGTATTCACTACTGCGATCATCCAATCAGTACAAGGAAATCAACCATACGGTTTCAAGTGTTTGGCTAATTTACATGTAAGTAAAGCATGTTTATGCATATATTTTTGCGCGTTTTGCGCTCGTGCTAACTCAGTAGTCGCTTCGGACCACTCTGTAAAAGATGTGTAATTGAAAAGGCTTCAACTCATTAACATTAGCTGCGTTTTACTATTTAATAAATAGCGATCATTTTATCTTTATTTTACCACTTTACCTGGCTTATTTCGCATTATTGCTGGCGGCTTTTATCAGTTCATTATACTCGGCGTCTGAAACGTATCTAAGCCCATGTATTAAGGCGCATTCAATTAACAAACGCAGTAATCTTGGTTTTACTGCCACCGCAATTATGAATCAAAACACAAGACGGAATTAATCAGTCGGTGCTTGAGCGAAATTTTTATCCGAAACAATGGGTTTTATCAAGGGCTCTTATCAAGATTCCCAGAAAAAATTGAAAAGATTGAAATAGTCGCGTTACATACAGAAAGTTTAGGGGGAAATCAGCAGCAAACGTGCGCGTTGCAGGGGCGGATCCAGCTTTAAATTCAGGGGGGGTCTTCTGTTGTCTATGAAATTAGCAAAATTATCGTCGTTTTGTGCAAGGTTGGCGCAAGATTACTGCAAAATTTCATGTTTTCCGTCCCGTTTTGCATGTTTCTCGGAAGCGAAATGAGCAAGAACGCTCATTCGTACATTCTAAACAGAAATAAATGGCCTTTTTAGGAAGTGAACCATGGATGGGGAAATGTTGCCAGTTTTCTCAAAAAATGCTTGAATTCAACAAGTTTTAGATTTGCGTGGTTTCAATTGCGCTTTAGAGTTTATGGTCGGGCAGATGCAATTTTCGGAGATTTTAGTTAAGTTAAGAATATGCTCGTTTTGTAGACAGGCCGGGTTTTGCAAGCATTTTTCACTACTTTTCGCCACTTGATTTAGTCTTGGACGCGTTTTGCGGTTACCTATGCGGGTTAGTTTTGTTAATTT